TGTTAGCCAGTTAATTCTCCCATTTCTGTGCCTCCACCATTAGGTATGTGCCCTAGGTGGCTCTGCTAACAAGGACCTCCAATCCTCAGCACTTCTCAAACCATGACACACAGCCATGTCTCATGGGAGGCCAGGAAAGGCATTAGAGAAGTTTAACATCAGAGGCACTCAAGGGAAGGTGCTCCTGAGGCGGGATGTGAGCAGCTCCTTGGAAGGCATTGGACAGGAGTGAGGACCAGTGAGACGATAAGACAGTAGGCTGGGCGGGTCAAGACCGAGAACAAGGGGTGGCACAGGTGGTATCTAAGAGAAGGGAGTCAGATCTGCTCCGCAGGACCGGAGGCAGGGAAGCTGGACTGGAAAGTGACCAATGCCAGTCTAAGGCTTGGTTTTCCAGGCTCTGCTCCTTGGTACATGGGTATTCCAATTATGGTTAAACTCTGACTGGGTCCTGGTTTCCTATAAGCTTCCTGGCACTTCCTCAAACACAACTTTGAGAAGTGTCATTGTTACAAGCTGTATAGTAATTGTAAAAAACTGTCATTTAGTGATTGTTGTGCGTTAGGTACTGTGCTCTTGTATATAGCTTGCTTTCTGCCTTATCCCATATTTCTTCCTCCTCCTCCTCCCCCTCCCCCTCTCCCTCCTCCTCTTCCTCCTCTTCCTCCCCCTCCTCCTCCTGCTCTTCCTTTCTCTCTTTCCTCCCTCTCTTACCTTCTCTCCTTCCCTCCCTACTACTGAGGCTTGAATTCAGAGCCTCATATTCTCACCTGGCTTTTTCACTCCAGGTTGGTGCTCTACCACCTGAGCCACATTCCCACTTGTAGCTTTTTGCTGATTAATTGGAGATGAGTCTCATGGACTTTCTTGCCTGGGCTGCCTTCAAACTATGATCCTCTGATCTCAGCTTCCTGAGTAGTTAGGACTACAGGTGTGTACCAGTGCCTGGCTTCACACTGCTCTCTCTTATGTGAGCATAGCACAGCTTGGGGAGGTGGCCTCTGCTTACAGATAAGGCAACGAAGGCACATAAAGATCAACTTGCCAAGCCTACCAGCTAGAGTTGCTACAATGGAGAACTCAAATTTGCTGGAACTCAGGGTATCTAGAACAAACTCAAGGCCTTGACCATTAGGCTGCTTCTGGGCCTCCTTCCTGTGGGGGTATCCTGACTTCAGAGTGAGGAGCAGGTCACAGAGAACAGAGAACAAAGAGGTGGATCAACTTGAGGTTTAGGAAAGGTGTCTCTTATACACATGTAAGTTTTGGAAAGGGTATGGGCCAAGGACAGAATTAGCTACAGGGGACAACAAGAAGATACAATCAAGCCATGGGGTGGGAAGAACATTCTTGAAAACTGAGCTTAGAAACCTTTCCTTTGCATGTATATTTTGGCCACATGAATCATCTGTACACAAATAGATTTTGCTATTTAAGCCAAGGTCACAGCTCTGCCGCAAGAACACAGATTGGAGGGCATCTTGCTGGAGCTGCTCGGACAATGACAAGGGGACCAGTTGGAATGCCAGGGCAGCCACGTTGCTGGGCAGCAGATGACAGGGAACCTGCCCACAACTGAGCAGTGCCAGCCACTGCTGGGGCCAGCGTGATTTCCCAAGTAGTTATTGTGGCTATGACTGGCAAGAGATGACAGTCACATGTTCCACCCAAATGTAATTTTGTTGGCTTGAGTTTATATTCTGGAATGCTGTTGTCTAGGCCAGGCCTAGGCTACAAGTGAGAGGAGCTTTTTTTGGGGGGAAAAAAAAGAGCTTCCTTGTTTCTAGGCAGAACATCACTGCCTGCAAATCCCTTCTACCATCCTTCTCTCATTCCAATTTCAACCAATCAGGGAGGCAGGTAGGGAAACTGAACCTACAAAGATAAATTCAATAACTTATACCAGATCGCACAGCATGTGATGACGGAACTAAACCTTTGCTTTCCAAGTCAGTATGGGTATCTGCAACCCTGCAGATACCTAGCAAGGGATAGTCTAGCAAGTGATTAAAAATGCAAACAAGAGAACAGAATCTCACTTCCTCTCAATCACTACATGCCTAAACTGCACCATGAAACAAATTCTAAACATCTAAGACTTTATACCTTGTCAGTGCACTTCACAACACTCCTAAAACGGTAGGGAGGAAGAAAGAGTGGGTGACTTATAGAGAGAAAAACAGAGGTGCTGGGTGGTAAAGAGACCTTCCAAGGTCGCAGCCAGCAGAAGCTTTATTTCTAAGCTCCAAGCTCTTCTTTTAGCCACCCCCCCCCCCAGCCTAGAAGCATCCAGTGTGGTGAAGCTGTGGAAAACACTCATAAGGCTGAGGTTCCATGTTCAAACCAGCAGCTCCCTCTGTCCACCCTCCTGTTCCATCCCAATAGCTGCTCATTGTTGCCTGTCCACACAAGACAAGAAACAAAACAACCGTCCTGGCTCTCCTCTCTTGCCACCAGGACCATGCCAGGGTTCTGAGGGTTGGCCATGCTTTCTGGAGCATACAATAGCTGTCACAATGGAACAGATGTGGCCACACGATCCCCAGCATGACCCCTGGACGTGGCCTCATCACAACTCTTTCCTCTGACTTCAGTCTTGGGTGCACAGGTCAGGCCCCCACATCAAAGTCCTTCTCATTTGCTTTTCTAATGTCTCAAAGCACCTGCTGATGTGGCGCTGACATTCTGCCTGGGAACCATAACAAGGCATAGAGGCCAGATGCCCAAGGACAGATGTCCAGATGACAATGATCTCCTCCTGGTACTGATCACTGCTTGGATCCCCCTCCCTAGGCTTCTGGGGCCTGGAGATCCTACTTCTGGGCACCAGCCCCACAGAAGCCGCTCTGAGCTTGAGGCTGCACTTGGGGAACAGAGTCCTCTCCTCCCACTGAAGGAAAGCCTGTCCATGGCAGCCACTGCCCCATTCCCTCTTCTCACTCATTCCGTGCCCATCACCTTCCAGCCATAGACTGGAACCAATCATTGAAACACTGCATGGGATAAAGAAGAATGTTGCAGACCACACGCTTTATGACATTGCCTTGTTAAAGCTCAACAACAACAACAACAAAACCCAATCCAAATGAGACAATATTGCTTAGAAGTATGTTTGTGAATAATGAGAGCATTTAACAAGGGCATGCTAAACCTACAACTGAGGATCCCCGTTACCCTGGTGGGGGATGGGACAGGACAAATACAGTCACTAAAGAGCAAGGGTTGGAAGGTGGGTGAGAGATGATGGGCTTTTTTTTGTGCTGCCTGGTTTATAAATATGTTCCATATATCAGCTGCTATTTTAAAGACCAGATGGGAAGGATCTTAGAGATGCTTCTTCCTCTTGTATCTGTTCTGACTTTGGAGCCTCTTCTGAGTGCCTGGCCTTGGTGTTCCCTGCCCTGCCTGGCCAACTTAGTGACCCGGAAGATGTTCTGCCCTTGTTCTCCATTGCCTTCCCTCCTACTTGCTAGCTCCTGCATCCTCCCTAGAGCCTGCAGTCCCCCCGGCTGGGGGATATGATGGATGCTTTCAGTGCCGGTCCTGCCTGACATCTCTGCAGCGTTTGATGCCACCTACTGGCCCAGCCCCATCTTCTGTGAACACCTCTTCCCTGGCATTTTGGGGGCCTCCCCTCGTGATCCCCCTTCTATATCTCAAGCACTTCTTGGCCTCCTTTGCAGGCTCCCTACCTCTAAGCTGTCCTTTAATTAAGCGGAGGTGCCCACAGGGGTGTTCTCTGACCTCTTCTCACCCACATCTTTTTATATCTTCTGTTACTGTCTGAATGCAGATGAGTTCTCATTTCTTTCTCCAGCTCAGGCCTCTATCTCCTGACTTATGCTGCAAATAGCTCCTTGAATTTCCCACTTTGGTACAACACAGGCACTTCAAGTCCAATTCCTGGCCTTCTCCCCACTGGTCTGAGTCTGGTCCTCTTCCTGTGGCCTCTGTCCAAGTAGCTAAGCCCACCTGCATTATCTGCCTCAGTTCCTCTCTCTTCTCTGTCCCTTACCCCACCCAGTCACCAAATCTAGCCCCTCAATCTCCCTTAAATGTTGCTCAAATCTACCTATTCTCTACGCCTCTGCAAAGACCTTCCTATTCAAAGCCAGAATCTTTTGCTTGTGCAAAAGCAATTGTCTCACTGGAGATCTGTCTGAGACCAGCCTTGCCGCAATCCATTCTCTGCTCTGCATGCACTGTGTTCTTTGTGATGTGAAAATCAGAGTACACTCAGTCCCCTAATTAAATTCCTCAGTGGCTGCCTGCCCTTCCTACCCCAAGGCTCTCCATGACCCTGCCCCCTCCCTACTTCCTCTTCCTCTTTCCTCCTCTCTCTCCACAGCTCTTCCTCAAACCTCATCCTCCCACCACACTGAACCTCTTTCCAGTGTCTCAAATGCACTCAGCTTTCCTCTCACCTCCAGAGCAAAACCATGTCTCTACCAAGAACACTGTGGCACCTGCTGTTATCCAGTCTTAATGGCTCCACTTCTTACCTTGGGGTTCATTGGAACTACCATTCCTTCCAGGAAGTCCTCCCTGACCACTCTACTCCAACCCGGAGAATATAGGTCTGTTATTCAGTTCTAGTACATGGAACATCCCTATAATAATCCCTGTTGAAAGGATTTGTCTCTTACTGTGGACACTACACAGCAGGCATCAGGAATCTAACCTGCTTTCTCACCAGGACCTAGAGCAGTGCCTGAGCCCCTACTAAGCAGCTGATAAAATTTTTGAATGAATGAAGGAATGTATGAGTGATGCTCTGTATCACATCTGTTACTTGGCTGAACTCTTACAATTAGTACTATTACTTTCATTTTCAAGTTTCTCATGAGAAATCATATAGCTAGTCGACAGAAAGCAGGAAGTCAGGCCACGCTTCACACCAACACTCACATCAAGGCTCCCTTCATCCCATCAGAGGCCACAGAGCCCTCCCTGGGCCCCATCAAGGTGGAGAATTCAAGATGAGAGCTGGCAATGGTTACCTGGAAGCAGGTGGGCCCCGGCCGCCCCGTGGGGATGTCCAAGTGGTAGAAAACTTTGAGCTCTGGAGTCAGGGCGATGACAGTCTTGATCACCAAGGAGATGATGTCAGACCACACCTTCTTGATGTCCACACCCTTGGAAGACAGTCTATAAAGAATGCTAGAGAAAGTCCTCTTGCTGCCCGTGTTGGCACTGTCCGAGTGGATGAAGTTGTTGCTGTGGATGTTCAGCGAGTAGTTGGTTAAGTGCATAAAGACATGGTGCATGTTTTGGGAGTTGGGTTCCTGGTATGGCTCTGTACAAAATCTAGAGAGTCCATCTTTGGCTATATAAATCTCTAAGGGTTCTAAGGACTTTAGTAAGACATACAGACGAATATCAAACTTGAGCTTGTCGATAAGGAGAGGTTTGCAGATGTATTCCTGGACCACTGCTGGCCTGCTCTGCAGGGTCCCAGTCAGGCGGATGTCGCTGGGGTCTTTAATGAGGTAGATTCCATCACCCTGACAACCACCATCAGGCTTCACAATAAAAGTGGGCTTCCAGGAGGGGTCGCCTTCTTTCACCACTTGAACCTGTTGAGAGGAGAGAGTGGTTGGCATCATATTCGTTTCTGCGCTAGATATCCAAGCACAGAAGCATTTTGGCAAACATTTGGTGGAGGAGCAAGAAAAAGTGATTCCCCCGTTACTGAGTGCTCATTGAACATCTCCCATGAAGACAATGCTGTGCAAGGAACTGAGATAGAGAATGGTCCAGAATCTCCTGCTCCAGAGGACATGAAGAGAGGCACTAGAATGGTAACCACAATGCATTGGTTCAGCCCTCATTTCCCCATTTATTAGCTATACCATTGAGCAAGTTTGGGAACTAATATTAAAGACGATGGTCTAATGCCATTTGTGAGTGCCTAAGATGCATCTGATACTGTATTTGGTACTTCACATAAGTTATATCATCTAACACACACAGAATACATGGTTGTTCCATTTTTACAGGAGAAGAAACAGAGATGGTGCAGCTGTTAAGAATGTGGGTATTCTCCCAAAGAATATTCCAATTAATAAGTGAGAAAGTAAACTGAACAGATATTTCTCAAAATAAGTACACATGACCAATGTATTCACAAAGAAGTGCTTGGCTTCCTTAGCCATAAAGGAAATGCAAAGCAAAACTACACTGAGATTCCCTCTCACCCCAGTCAGAATGGCCATCATCAAGAAAACAAACAAAGAATGGTGGAGAAGATGCGTAGGAAAAGAAACCCTATACATTGTTGTAGGAATGTAAATTCAGGAAGCTGCTGTGGAAGTCAGTACGGAGGTTCCTCAAAAAAAAACAAAAAATACAACTACCTTGTGAACCTGCCGAACCACCTGTGGGCATACAACTGAAGGACTGTAAGTCAGCATATAATAGAAGTACCTGCACATCCATGTAACAAACTATGGAATCAGCTTGAGATGTCTACCAACAGATGGATAAGGAAAATGTGATATGTACACAAATGGAGATCACAGCCACAAAGGAGAATAAGATTTGTGGGGAAATGGGTAGACTTGGAAATCATCACATCAAATAAACCATTTAATTCACACGTGGAATCTAGACTAAGGAAATAGAATGAGTAACAAGAGTATAAAATGGAGAGATTTTTTTCTGGAGGGGGGAGGGTGTGGAAATAGAATGAGTAACAAGAGTATAAAATGGAGAGTTTTTTGGGGGGTAGAAAGGAAAAAGAGAAAAGGGGAAATGAATATGATCAAAGTACTTTATTAAATGTACGAAAATAGAATAATGAAACCCATTAAATTGGTTCAGACAGGAAGGAGGGTGTATAAGAAAGAATAACATAGGGTAAATTTGATCAAAATACATTATATGCATGCATGAAAATACTGCAGTGAAGCCTTTCTATGCAATTAATACGTGCTATCTAAAATTTTTTAAAAGGTTTCAAAAGTGTGTGGGTGTCAGAGTCAGACAACCTGGGCTGAGGCCTTGGCCCTGTCTCTTCCTGTTAAGTGACTTGCCCAAGTTACTTGTTCCCTGTGACTTTCTCATCTATTAAATAGGAGAAAGATTGTTCAGAGGATTCAATGCAACAGCTAAGCACGCAGAACCTGACATGTTGAAAGACAACCAAAAGCCTAGCTACTGCTATTTTTAACAGATGAAGTAACTTGCCAGCGAACTGGGGGGATGGGGAGGGGGAGGGACAGCATCAGATCTAAAATCTAGAGTAATGACTTTAAAGCCCCATACGTTCCTCCATGTTCCTTCCAAACCCTCTCTGGGTCATTGTGAAGACTGGATAAGCTGAAACGTGCAAGGACCAAGCATTAATACCAAAACGGAGCTGGTACAGGAGTGACAGGTGCTTTATCATTTACATAATCAGTAAGTTCATCTGGTAGTTTTGGCTGATCCTTCCATCTGGGGAGATCTTTTTGAAACTAGATTCTGTTACCTACCACGTTTGTTCTCTTCCCAGCCCAAGAATAGCAGGACATTCACATAAGGTATTAGTTAGGCATTTCCCCAGTCTGGATCTTACCTGTGTTTATGCATAACAAATATGTATCTGAAACCAGTGCCAGTGGCTCACGCCTGTAAATACTAACTACTCAAGACGCTGAGATCTGAGGATCATGATTCAAAGCCAGCCTGGGTAGGAAAGTCCCTGAGACTCTTATTTCCAATAAACCACCAGAAAACCAGAAGTGGCACTGTGGCTCAAGTGGTAGAACACTAGCCTTGAGCTGAAGAGCTGAGGGACAGTGCCCAGGCCCAGAGTTCAGGCCCTACAACTGACAAAAAAAACCCAAAAACAACAACAACAAACAAATCCCACAAATATGTATCTGGTTCCTCCAATGCTATGGCTTGAGTGTGGCCCCCAAAGTTCACATGTTGGAAACTTTATTCTCAGAATCAAACATTTATGGTATTTGCAAGCGGAGACTTGAAGTACTTAGGACTAGAGGAAAGGTCATGCGGGTGAAGTACCATGACAGCATTAGTGGCTCTCTGAGAGGAAGAAAGACTACAGCCAACACTTGCTCTTCTGCCCTGCGATGTGACACCCTCCACTGTATTAAGATTTAGCAAGAAGGCCTGACAAGATGCCAGCACTTTGCTACTGAACTATACTGGGCTTTTCTGTTTATGGAACCGTAAGAAATACATTTCTTTATAAACTAGTTTCAGGTATTTAGTTATAGCATCCAAAAGTGGTCTAAGACATCTGAGCACTTATGAGATGTTTTATGTATCACTGTATATGCCACTTACTGGGGGCTTGAACACAAGACCTGTCATTTAGCTCAAGGTTGGCACTCTACCACTTGAGCCACATTTTCACTTCCAGCTTTTTTCTGGTTCATTGAAGAATCCCATGGACTTTCCTGCTCAGGCTGGCTTTGAGCCAGGATCCTCAGATCTCAGCCTTCTGACTAGCTAGGATCACATGTATGAAACATCCACACGTAGCCTAGCCCTGTGCAGCTCTGAAGACTGGATGGACAGCAATGGCAGAAGCGTTCTTCATCAGAGCAAAGGAACAGGAGGAAGTGAGAAGCTGGAAACAGAGGGAAGAAGACACCGCACACTCTGCAGTTTGGAGCTGTAACAGCACAGTGTCTGGCAGGCTGGACTGGTGGCTCTGCCCCAGCACTGGACTCCCCTCCACATCCACCTCTGCTGTGTGAGCCTGGGCCAGGCCACCTGCACTCTGCACTCTGAGTTGTACTTATCTCTTTGACCAGCCTATATTTCTAAGTGAGGCTTTTGCCGATTCCTTGGACACTATCAGTTATGCTGGGCTTGTAAAAGATCTTTAACAATGGAGAAACATTTAAAAGCCTTAATAATGGTCTACTTCTATTGTTTCCCCTTTGTCAGCAAGTCTTGGGAATGGAACTTCACAAGAGATCAATGCAAGCCTCCCAGGCCCCTCCCCTGAGCCTGTTCTTGCTACATGACCTTGATATTTACGTAGTCATTTCATATTCTTCCAAGGTACTCACACACATGGCCCTTTACAGTAAATAGGAGCGTGCTTGACAAATGGTCATTATGGATCAGGAAGTGAAAAATGTCAACTTTGCACTGATGGGTAATTTTTCCCTCTGGAATGCTTTTGCTAGGCCAAGATACTAACTGTTCAATATATTATCAGGAGCAATATTTTCTCCTTTGAATTCAGCATATGCATCTTAAATAAATTAAATGACATGGTCAATAGTCACTGTCATTCATTGCCTTACAGAATATTTCTTCTGGTCTTTGCTGAGTAGTAACTACAAATCAAGATTATTAATATGAATAGAATGGTTGAATGTTTGGAACTGAAAAGATCCTCAGAGATCAACACCACCCAATTCTCTTATAATGCAAAGGGAAAGTTGAGGATTAGAGAGATGACTTGATTTTTGCCTTGGATCCCATAACTGGGTTGATTGACAGGATGAGGACCTAAGGTCTCATGATCCTATCTCAGGATCACTGAGCTGTTTTTAACCTTTGATAAGGTACTGAAGGCCTCTTTTCCTGCTTACTATGCAAAAGACTCAACATCTCAGACAGTGTTGGCATCCAATCTCATAGTAAAGACTTTGACCCCTGAGCACAGCTGGCCGTCTTGGAACTGAATCCATGGATCCAGGGATGGCTGAGATTGCCCAGTTTCCAATCTCCTATCGGAATTGCTGGTGTGCTAAAAGACAGGTGTAATCTACAAGCAAGCCTCAACATTGGTCAGAATGAAGTTCCCTTAGCCACAAGACCCTAGAGCCACTTCTTTAACGGAAGAGAAATTTTTATTCAAGGGACACCCTCTTTTCCAATAAGTTAAGAACAAGTATACTGATCCTTACCAAGAAGTTATAGACCAGAATCAAAATACACCTGGGCGCCAGCCCCAGATATTCTGATTTTATAGGCCTTGGCTGAGACCTGTGTGTGTGTGTGTGTATGTGTATGTGTGTGTGTGTGTTAGAAAAACACTCCAGACAGTTTTGATGTGTATTCTCTCTGAGAAGCACTAGACTAACATGAAATCAAAATATAGTGTGAGGAAGACTTACACTTAAGCTACATCTGATCGTATCTCTAGCTTACCAAAAGCTGCTGTTGGATGTGAAATCCATTATCTTGAAACTGTATACATGGATGGCTAAAAGAGATACACACAAGATGCTGCTGGATTACTTGGTGCTCAAAAGGGCTATTGAAAAATTTCTGCATCTTTTACTGCCCCCTGGTGGATATTTAAGAAATGAGTGACACAAAGAGAGAGGGAGAGAGAGAGAGAGAGAGAGAGAGAGAGAGAGAGAGTGTACGTATGGTCTCCCAAGTAATCAAATTCTTCTTTAGAGACAGAAAATAGAATAATGTTTGCGAGGGCCTAGAGTAGGGGGCTGTGGGGAGTTAGTGTTTAATGGGCACAGAATACCAGTTTTGCAATATAAAAAATTTGTACAAGAGTTGGGAGCTTGGCTTAAGTGGCAGTGCTCCTACCTGGCAAGCTTAAGGATTTGGGTTCAAATCCCAGTGCCACCATCATACAAAAAGA